GTATCACAAGAGCAAACTGATGAGACAAAAGGAGGACTAACAGGAAACCAGCAGAATAAGGGGTAAGTGAAGGGTATTCATTGATAAATGCCATTTGTCATCAGTTTGCTGCGAGAACATACATTTTTGAAGAGCTGCTCAGCCAGTTCCTTGACGTGGTTCATGACTTTGTGCGGACAGGCCTCCTCTTGTCGTATCCGCTCAACGTGATTGGCCACCAGCTGTGGAAACGGGACAAAAAAAGTTATCCTTCATATCCGAGCCGTGTTGCGTTCAATCACCCTCAGTCAAACGGGAGAAAAACAAAAAGGTCTAGCTGTGCACAATGCGCTGACAGACTCACATCATCGAACATGTCGGTGGCTCTGTAAGGAGGCCCTCGCTCTGACACGAAGCCTGCGAACGCCATGCCGTCCAACACCTTCATGAGGAAGTCGTCCTCCGTCAGCGACCTCTGACCCAGGAAGGCAGCCTGCGGGAACACACGTCACACTAATCTGATACCGACCTCTCATACAGGCGCTATTTTCTCTTTAGAACACACAGGCGATTGGTTGGAAGGGTTAATGGTGTGCAGTATTCTTTACAGACCTTATGGAAGCGGATCACCGGTTCTGGGTGAATGCGGATGATGTGTAAGCACCAGCGGTAGCCCTGGAAGAGCCGAGCGAACAGCCACAGGAAGACTCCCCGGATCTCCTTGTCCTGGAACACACAGTCAAGTTAAAGTACACACAAACAAACCGAAGGAATGACGGAACGAGGAACTGAACAGGACACGGGGTCTGGAAACAATCCTGGACCCCCAGATTTAATCCAGTTACATTTTTGACCTTTCAACACTCTCTTCATGGCAACAAGAATGAAATGTAAAATCTACCCTGCTAGTTAGACACTAGGCCTCTCAGAGCAGCAGTGTACAGATTTAGGGTTTTTTAAAACCTCAATATAAATGTAAAAATATTTTGGGATTGTTTTTTTGAACAAAGCTGGTGAGAGTAGAGTGGTTTTCTTACCTGGATCTTGAGCGCAGAGGGTTGCGTGGAGAGTGGGGGAAAGGCTTGATCAGCGATTTCCAGCTCTGGATCCAAAACCTACACACAACAAACACAAAAACACCTCAGTAACGTAGACCAGCGGGCCAGTAGAAACCTACCAGGTATGGCCGAGGACAGGATCAAACCACTGTGTGATGAATTAAAAAAATGGTGGTAATCCACAGAATACGCGTTTCCTGTCAACCGTACAGTTTAGTTTGGTTTCATTTGCCACATTTTAGGAGAAAACTTGACTTTGCTGCACGAACCCGTCTACTACTACGACTATTACCATTCTTTTCAGTACAAACACAAATATTCTTCCAAGAAAAAAATTGCTGGTCTGGCTATTCATATGGGTCACCAATGAACACAATAATATAAGGCTCATAAAAAACTATTATTTGTGCCTTTGAATGCCTTTTACGCGAGTCATTTTAGTAGAAATTTGTCTTAATACGGTCAGTTTTTGCTCAAAAGCTTGAAGAAAAGTTCAGTTTTTTTATGTCTAGCTCTACGGAAAACGAAACCATTTGGAGAGGGTCACTACCAGCGGGAACATATCCAGAACACTACCTTGGAAACAACCTGTGGTCTTAGGCCACTGCATGAAAACCAAATCAGCTAAGTGATAGGAGAGCACAGCAGCTAAGCCCCGACTCATGGTTGCTGCCCAACAATCTGCAGCATCGAGTCTCCAACGACCTTCAACCAAAACAGCTTCTACCTTCTACAAATAAAGCCCGTGCTACTCGAACTTGGCTGATACTTTTCGGGTTTGTAGAAGTCTGTGTTGGTGTCTGTACACACAGGTCCGTGACCGGGTGAACTCCTTTTCCACTTGTTTCCAGCTCTCATTCCATCCATGCAGAGCAAGGACCGCAACAGTCAAGAGTCTCCGGGTTAGAAGTCACGGAGCACACGAGAGCAGCCGGTCACAGGAACTCTCCACAACACAAAAACACGTGGGACGATCCCGAGGTTTCACAATGAAATCCCTCTTTCATTAGATGAATGTATTGTTGAGCCGAGTCATCTTAGGCATGTAGCGGAGGCCCCGGTCAGTGCGTCCAGGTTCAGTGTCTTGCTTAAGGACACTTTGACACACAGCCGGTGGCAGCAACAAAATAAGCTGCTATTGGGATTGTACACAATAGTTTTAATGGGACGGTAGTTAAAACTGGGTTTACAGATCTATCTGTTCTATTCTATTCCATGAGCACCTAAATCACAGGTGTGACTCTAACTGTCATCTCTCCATGTGATGACAGTGGTTGATGAAATTAAAAACAACACACACAGAGAGAGAGCGAGTGGATCTGTGTCAGCGGTTGTCTAGGTAAATGATTCTGTATTCTAACTAAAAGAACACTACATTTCCTTGACGAACACTCCATCTTGAGTAAAAATCGAATTGGCTTCCTCCCAAAACACCGCACCACCGACCATGTATATACCATTAACACTTTAATTAACAAACATGTCCACCAAACAAAACATGGTAAAATATTTGCTTGTTTTATTGATTTCAAGAAAGCTTTGGACTCTATTTGGCATGAAGAGCTCTATTACAGACTTCTACAGTGTGGGATAGGGGGCAAAATGTATGATCTGGTTAAATCAATGCATTTGGAAAATAGGTGTGCTGTTAAAATTGGAGACAAACAAACTGAATTCTTCACCCAGAAAAGAGGTGTTCGTCAGGGTTGCGACTTTATTGAATATATATATAAATTAACTTGCTGTTGAGTTGGATCAATGTGCTGTTACTGGGCTCCCCCTCCTAGATAGAGAGGTGAAGTGTCTGTTTTATGCCGATGACCTGGTTCTACTGTCTCCTACTGAACAAGGACTACAGCAACAGCTGGACAGAGTAGAACAGTTCAGTCACAACTGGGCCCTGGCAGTAAATATGAAGAAAACTAATGTCAGGATTTTTCAAAAACGCCTGAGATGTCAGGAAAACAAATACCAGCTCACTATAAATAATAACATGATTGAACATAGTATGGTTATACCTTGGTATAACCATAACCGCATCAGGGAGTTTCAACATGGCAGTGGATGCACTAAAAGAAAAAGCTCCAAGAGCTCTAAATGCAATTAAGAGAACATTTTATAATTTTCAAATCCCAATTAAAATCAGGCTTACAACATTTAACAGTGTCATCCAGCCCATTGCGCTGTATGGTAGTGAAGTATGGGGTCCACTCAGACATCATAGTTATACCCGCTGGACAAACATCCAACAGAATCTCTACACGCAGAATTTTGCAGATACATTTTACACAGAAACACACCAACAGATGCATGTAGAGCAGAACTAGATACCCACTGATCATTAACATTCAAAAGAGAGCACTCACATTCTTCAATCACCTTAAATCCAGACACCCTCTACTCCAAAGCCCTCCAAACCCAAGAGCTGAGCCCGGAGAAGAGGCCCCTATGTCAGCTGGTGCTGAGACTAACCCCCTCCTCTCAGACACACTGGGACCAGTCTCACAACAACACTGCTCTCCAAACACCAATCAGAGTAAAACACATCATAACGAGATGTAAAGAAACCGATCTGGAACACTGGAAAGAAGAAACTAAAAGCCAAAATAGATTAGAATGTTATCTGATGAATAGTCAGAATATCTCTCTACTGCCAGAGATAGAAAGCAGAGACAGATCCTCACCAAGTACAGGCTCAGTGACCACAAACTGGAGATCTAAAGGAAGACACTAAACATCATGGCAACCAAGAGAAAACAGAATATGTAGTCACTGTGGACAGGTGAGTCTGAGACAGAGATGCACTTCCTCTTAAAATGCGAAACATTCAATACAATTAGGAACATGTACTTTAAAAAATTCAAGAGTACAGAGAGACACAGAGACAGTAATCTAATAAAGTGAATCATCGGCTTTTAAACGTGACTGCAAACAAACAAACCACACTCTCCAGGAAGAGACGACTCGGCATCGTAACACACCCACGACCGAGTGTATAGCTGGAAGCCATCCACCTCATAGAGAGAGGGATTTATATTGTTTGGATTTATTTTTAAGAAGTTGGTTTTAGCTCTAATGGTTTCATGTTTTACAATATTGACTTTTTTTACACGGATAAAAAGATAGACTAATGGCAAAAAATGCAAACCCTTTTAAAAATGTCTCTAAATATAAAAGAGAGAAGATGAACCCCCTGAAGACAACCTTTATTAGAGGCAGGCGTACTGAGTCTCAGAGAGTCCGTATTAGCTCTACACAAATAGGACACTGAGATTTTTCATTTTTCTTTGCTAAACAGCTTACAGAGTGCCGTTAAGCTGCATGAGCAGGAGACAGTAAGTGAACAACAAACGTCCTGGACATCCACATGTTTCTAATCCGCTCCTGTGTAGTTTGGGCTTTATGTTTGCGGTTGTTGTCTTGCAGTCAGTTTGTGGAGATCTGTTTTCACCTCGACATTAAAACAGTGGTTTTTAGCCACGTTAGCGGCATGTTAGCAGCATGCTAGCTTCAGTCGGTAAGTCCAGCACTTTGGTCCAGACTGAAATATCTCTTAATGGATGTCAGCGAGCATTTAGCTGAAGCGCAGCCTCACAGAGTCTCTTAGTCTTGTTTTCTGGTAATCGGTGTCGTAAAATCTAAATTACATTCGCTGCACATCAATGCAGTAAAATAATCAAATGTGAAAAAGCTGCGGGGAGTGAATGCTTTTTTATGAGCGCTGTAAAATTCTGTAAAACAAACAGTGTCACCATTACTAGTTTGCTCAGCAGCACTAAAAACTGAGACATTAAATCAAACATGACCAAGCGCCAGACAAGCAGAACAATATATTGTGTTAACCCATTATTCCTGACTCAGTTATGATTGTATTCACATGTAAAAACAATCTACAGTGTATCTAGTAAATTGATCATAAACTGAGAGCGATTTCCAGCAGCAGCTCTATTGTGAGCCGCATAGCTGAGACAACAGGTGCACTGCTGTACGGTGTCATCACACATCTGTGATGACACATGCACAGTCAACAGAAGCAACAATAGGGAAGCAGGAAAGAAATCCGTGTACAAATAAGATAATGAGGAAGCTGGGAAATCATTTGTTTTCACACAGATAAAAAAAAAAGCATTTCTCAGAATGGGCTGGCTCTGGAATACTGGAAGGGGCTGAAGCTGCATGCTTGATATGAGCTGGCAATATTTGATGCGTGTGAATGTGCAGGAATAGTACTTGATAGGAAATTCTTTATTGTGTGTATGTTAGTGTGTGTGTGTGTGTGTGTGTGTGAGGGTGATCAGGTGAGTTGGTTGCATCATAGCACCAAGCTTCAACTAAAAGGTAACTAAAGTGCAAACTAAAAACAGAGTAGAGAAAGCACACTTTATTAAAGTTGCTCACCCAATTTCATTTTCAGAGATGGAGAATATGTGTGATGTTTTTCGTTTTTTCTTTTCTAAATTTTACAAGCTTCCAAAAGTTGCACAAGACTTTTTCTGTACGTGTTGAAATTAAACAGAAATCAAATCCACCACTTCAAACTTGTAAAACAAAACTGTAAAAACTTCTCTTCACCAAAAATCTAAACTCAACCTAAAATAAAGTCATCTCAAGAAGAAGGAGGTAAAACCAATCCTTTTCCTTGGTAGAAACCACCCACTGGATGTTAATGAGATTTCCCAGGGCTCACCAATCATAGGTGTATGTGTGTGTGTGTGTGTGTGTGTGTTCAGAGTTTTGGGCTGCAGCTCTTACCATGGAGAGCACGGTCTGGGTCTGCTGGAGCATAGGCTCGGGCAGCAGGGAGATGTGGACGCACTCGGGGATGGTGACGGTGCCTCCGTCCAGGTCGGCGATGATCACATCCAACTGAAAACATACAAAATACACTTTTCACCTCTGCCTCCCAGACTGTTGATAACAGCGCAGCGTGACGGACGATACACGAACAAAGTGGTCTCTGTCGGCGGCTGCTCATTACAGGACGCTCGTTATCAAGCAACAAAACACAGTCAGATTTCAGAGCAGACGGCGGGGAGAGGCTGCCCCAACGATAACCTCTGACCGCTCGCACACTGAATAAAAAGACATGCGACTACTGTACAAAACACTGAGTCTCCTTGTGATGGGAGACAACGGCTCCATCTCTAACGGGAGGGTTCATTACACCTTCATCGAGCCTTCATAATTATAGTCTTGTATATTTTGGTATCATTTATCTTGGCGCAGTCTGTAAAGAGTCTATTAAGGTAAGGCAGGAGCAGCGGTTTATTAAAAGATGAATGAAGTACTGCTTAATGGGTCAGTGAGAGTTTACGTGAAACATTCTCTCCATTGTAATCACATAGCTCCAGGTATTATGTAAGTATATAGTAGATCATTCCAGTCCCTTTTTTGGGAGCAAGTTTGTTCAACTACCAATATTGCATTTTATTAAAATCACGTTTATTCCCAACAGCTGAAAACTGGCAGCAGGTGTTCCCACTAGTCTATCTTTCACACAGTGCATGCTGGGTATTTAAATGACGCTGGTTGTTTGTCTATTGTTGATGAAGTGGGTTCAGTGTGTAGTTTCTGTGTCATTTTGTTTTCCAGCTGGCTGTGTGGTGCCGACATTTCCTGCAGCTTCCGACTGCCCCGCGGGTGGTTTTCTGCTCAAACGCTGCTTCATTTCTCTTTCTGAGCGCGTTGCCGACGTTGTAATGGGACAATAAGGGACAGACATCAGGTGAAGGCGGCGCACGGTCCAGACCCGTGACCAATTTCTGATAAATTTCGGAGAATATATAATAATCTTCAGCTTTTTATTTTTTTACCAACGGCTGCATCTTTAACTTGTGAGCACCGACACATGTACATGAGAATGGTGCTGACTATATTCAAGATACAAACTACTGAAAGGACAGAAAGTAGAAAAAAAAGATGTAAAAAGGGCCAAAATGGGAAAATGTCTGTTTTTTTCATTTATTTTATTCAGAATATTCTGTCTTGCTTTATTGAACTTGACATGTAGGCCATGAGTTAATTGGACTAGTTTAATTCATAGTTAAGACAGCTTTTTTTCCAGATAAGTTAAATGTGTCTGTGTTATATGTGTGTCTATGTTACAAGTATCCTACTTTACATATTAGTTGAAATGATAGAGAAATGCACGTTGTTGATTGTATTTGATAGTAACTGGACCTCTTTGAATATGAATTGATGATGTAGGCCTTCATCAGGAAATCTTCCAGATTGAATATCAAAAGAAGAAGTGTCAAATCAGAGGTGCTGTTGTTTGGAGACAACATACTCCAGTATAGTTTCCAAATATACAGCAGCACTGCGACGCTGGTCCAATCGTACTGCAGTGATGGGAACTCACCAGCTCTTGTGTCTCCGAGCGGAAGAATGAATTGACACCGATGATGAAGGGGGTGGGGGTGCTCAGGACCTCCAGCAGTTTCCCCGTCAGGATGGGAACGTAGGTGAAGCTGAGAGGGACACAAACAGGAATGAGATTCAGCACATCTGACATGTGTCCTGAGACAAAGAGCACCCAGAGAAACATCTAAAGACGGTGTGGAGAGACAGAGGAGTGGAACCCCACCTGTATTCTAGGGGGAACATGATGGCCAGCAGTCCGCGGCAGGCGTCCGTTAGTCTCTGGTAGCTGCTGGACAGGAACAGGATCTTGTGTTCCGTCAGGGCGGCACAGAACAGATACAACACGTTGACTATACCTGAGGGGGGAGAGGGCACGGACGAGGCGTCACACCGAGTCCAGGACACAAACCACATTCATACTCGTATGTTGGACCAGCAGTAACTCGGTTAAACTAATCATCGGAAAAGTCTGAAACAACATTTAGGGTTTTTTAATCCCTCGATTACCGATTGGGCAACTAACAGGCTTTCTATGCAGTTCTGGAAATTCTTTTAAATAATAAATAATGTATTTGATTATTTCCAGTTTGTTTGTTTTTTAATAGCAGAAAAATAAATATAAAACATTTTACACAATTATAGACCCGTCTATCATTTCAAAACCTGACATTCACTAGAATGACTAACTTAACACTGCCTTTAGCAAAACAGGAGTTATAATCACCAAGTTAACATCTGAAAAATAACTATTTGGAGTTAACTACATATTTATAAGCCACCGTACCAAGCTGTCTGAAGAGCTGGGCCACGCTGCTGCCACTGACAGGAAGCGCGTCATCGATGGGAGTCTGGATGACTTGCCGGTCACCAGCACCTAACGTTATGGTCCTCTATAGATTAAGAGAGAGAGAGAAGAGAGAAAAGAAGGATTTAGAAGACCAAAGAACGCACAGTGTTAATCAGAAGATCTGGGTTTTAATCAGTTTGTGCGTGTCGGATGCGCAGCGTGAGTCAGCAACAGAGAGATGGAGGATCCCAGAAAGGCTTAGCAGGTACATCACAAATAAAATGCAAGTCATTCCAGCCGATCGGGACGTGAATGGCGCCGGGAAGGGCTCCATGCCAACGACTTTACTGCAAAAAAAAAAAAAAAACTTCAGCACCAACGTGTCAAATGGGATTTTATGGGAGAGAGAAATCCAAAGCGACGTGGCAGCTGTCATGCGCGGGCGATTTTCCCCAGCAGCCTATGGAAAGCACAAGCGGGAAGGAGGTAGACCGGGGCCAATCTGTATGGATGATTCATTTAGGGCCGTGAAGCGAGTCCTGGGATAAAATTAACCCCCTTCAACGTTTAACATGCTGGAAACACTTATCTGATCTGGCCGGCGTTGTAAAACGAAGCTTCTTTTTTTTTTTTTTTTAATTCTGCTCAAGTCTGGATCTCTGATTGGCACTACACTCTGTGCCTAATAACCACATCCTCCATTACAGATAACCAAACTGCCTTTGAAGAGCTGCACGTCTACTTTGTTCCAGACAAAGACAATAAATATTTATTTGTGTGTGGTTTGGATAACTAGCATATCCGGGAATGGAAATGAGGATGATTTAGATGGCGAGAATATAAATCGATCCAGTATGAGCACAATAATACAGCACAACTGAGCATTACCAAAAAAAAATCCAGAGTTTGATCTAAATTGTTTTCTGTCCTGTGCTTATGACTTCAGAACAGGTGGAAAAAAAGTTTTGACAGGATTCTTTTTTCATCTGTAAAAACAGGTGAAAAAAACAAAAGCTTTGACAGGTGAAATATCATTTTGCTGTTGTGATTATTTGAAGCGTTTGTTGTTGTAGTAACTATTTCGGCCACAAGAGGCTGAAGTGCAGCGCTGCCCTATAATCATGCTTCCTACATTAAGTAGTGGATTCTGCTATTCAGCTTCATTGTTTTTACTTTTAGAGCCTTTGTTTGCTGTAAAGTACAATATAAGATTATTGCTGGTTGAATTAGAGCTATGCCATTTAAATGAATCATTCTTTGACTTGATACAGACATAACTTGGTCACATAACTTGCTAACACACAATATATTTACCTTGTGTTTAGAGAGCATGGAGAACTTAAAACTGACCTGGATGAAAACGTGAGTGCTTTGAGCTGGATTTAAAATATAGGGGTGCACTTCAGCCTCTTGTGGCCAACATGATATCCTGGCAAAACTTTTATTTTCACCCGTTTCACAGATGGAAAAAAATAATAATAATCGACGGAATTTAGAAAGAATACTGTAAAAGATGTTTCCTCACCTTTTTTAAAGTCATAAACACGGGGAAAACAATTCAGATCAGACTTAGAAAATGGATCAGTTTTTAATCTTAATCTTGCCAGAGGGCTTTCAGGGTTCACAAACCAGTTGGACATGCAATCCGTTTCTGAAAAAAAAAGGAAAAGCTTCACCTGAAGTGTTTCTAATGGACCCGGTCAGTGTGTGGCTGTGTGCGACTGGGAGGGAAAAGTGCAGCATTATTTCATGCTCTCTACAGCAGCAACAATAGCGTCAGCATCCACAGGTGAGCTGTTACCCAACATCTGATCATCAGGTGCGTTCCAATTCATGGTTTGGCTTAAGAGGCGGATATGTTCACTTGTTAACCTGCATGGCCAGAGAGACTACTCTGCATGGCTCTGATGTAGCATCTTAAACTAACTGAAAGCAACACTTTACTTAAATTTGGCATTTATAAGCAGGGATTGTATAAGACGTATTATGAAGTGAATGATCAGTTGTCGGTCACACATTGAGCGTGTATCAAAGCATTTGAATTGGGTCTCCTGCAGCAGGAGGTGTGCATGGATTGGCTGAGGGGAATGGGAGGAGCACAGGAAGCCAAGAAAGCTCAGAGCTGATTGGTGTCGGGACGGGGGGGGGGGGGGGGGGAATGAAGTCGGGCTGGCGTACCAAACTCTCCTTTCTCTCCTCTCTCTCCTCCTGGCCCGGCTACACAAGCACCCGGCAGAGAGATAGAGAGAGACACACACACACACACACACACACCCCCCCCCCCCCCGAAGGATAAGACACCGGTTAGAACCAACAGGAGTGAAGGCAAAGGATGCCCAAACTTAACAACATGACAGTGATGACTCAGCACGACGAAAACAAAAGGAAGCTGCACAAACAATAACGTCCTGAACATGGTGAACTGCAAGATGATGGATGTGGTAAAAAATATAGAATGAGTGTAACATGAGACACGCATTCAAAACAAAGCACAGCCACCATTTAAAAGATGATCCATCGTGTCATTCTGCTAACATTTCTGAGTGGTCCAGAGTCATGTGCAATTAATTCTTCACTGCTGGATTGTACATGCACTTCTTCTGTATGTCAGTGACAAGACGACCCTCTAGTGACGCTGCATTAGCAGCACTCATTATTTGTTCCCATTCCTTGACTTCAGCAGGTCTTTAATGCTGACGCTGTTCAATGATTTTCTATTTACTAGATCTCTGAAAGCAAGACTTCCATATAGGACACACGGGGCAGGACGAGTAGTATTTGGATGTTAATTGGGCCATTATATAATTCTCATTTGCACACCGGTGGCATTCACCATATTTACTAGTCAGTTACACAGCGCTGAATTTGTACAGCTGAAACTGAAAATACCTGTTTGGCTTTTCCGACACCGTGTGATGTAATAGGAGCTCAAACTGATACTGGAAACCAGGCGGCAACTTTCTCTTTACTGACCAGCAGGGGGCGACTCCTCTGGTTGTATAAGAAGTCTATGAGGTCTCAATCTCTAGTTTCAAGTCTTCTTCAATACAGCATGATGTTCATTTAGTAAATGATGGTCCATTTAGAGTCAAACAGACCATAAAGAAGGGTATGCTTTAGGGCGGGGTTACTGTGATTGACAGGTCTCTACTCCTAGACAGCCGTATATGGCGTCTCTACGTTACTCCCCACATTCCAAATATGGTAACATTCCGTTCATTGGCTGCAAAAAGAACCAACACGGCCACGGGCGTATTCCAAGATGGCGACAGCGAAAATCCGGTTGACGCCACAATGACTACGTCCACTTCTTATAAACAGTCTATGCTGGAAACAGCTGAAATCACCTCTCACACTGCAATGATAGGAGGCGACGGGGTTAAACTGGAGTTGTACAGGCTACGTGAGAAATGACGTGTGTTCTTGTCATGTGACAGAAAGTGGCAACGACCTCAAGCAAACAACTTGTGCAGCTTTCAGTTTGAAGTGTTTTTTTGCTCTCAGTTCTGCCTTTAAACTCTAATGTGTTATTCCTAAATCAAACCCTGTCGGTCAGAGCACTTGGCAGCGGGACAGACAGTGTCCAGAAACCGAGATTGGAATTCCCTCTGTCCTGTAACAGCTCCATCACTGATGGGCAGTAAGAAGAGCACTTGACTTCCTTCCACGGGGAAACAGGACTAACACTACCACACACATAAACACACAAACAAAGGTCATAGGTCAGGGTCGTGTGCCGTGCAGATTCACGGTGTTGCGAAAGGGGACTTGATGCGAAAGGGTGCACCAGAACTCAGCACTTTGACATGTCTGTGTGAAGGACGGTCTTCCTCACCACAAGGCCACCTGCTGCTCTACCTTTCACCGTTTCTCACATCAGGCCAACAGCCTGAAGTTCACCTCACATTTGGGGTTGTGTAAACTATTCATAAACGACTGGAGTGATGTAACGTCCTGCTGTGTTTATTTTATTAAGATAAATGTAGACGGTTTACTACATATAAAAAAAAAAAGAGCATATTCACTCAGTGAAAGCCAGCCCCATTACTAGGCTAAGAAAACAGGCTTTTAGGATGAGGACGAACTAAAGTGCATTTTTAAGATGACACTGCGACTTGAGAAAAATGTAGAATATTCTACTACTTGGCCTTGGAAGTAATGCTGAGTCACTACTGTACATAGGCGGACATGCTAACATTTGCAGCTTATAATCACACCGTTTAAGCCATTCCATATACCTTTACTCTTACATTTTGAGGTTTGGAGAAGGTAAGAAAAAGAACATCCAAACTTGTTATTTAGGGAGTATTGCTTGTCCCATGTACACAGCTTGACAGACCTGCCATTCCTAGTTACCATTGCTAAGCTATGATTGGACGATCGCATTTCAGGAGAAGATCAAAATGTCATATTAATGAAATTTAAACTGTTTCCAAAACGTTGAGGTTGCTGGATTTATCTGGTTAACCCGAACTCCATTCAGAAAACAAGCAATTTTAGAAGTTATTTGCTTGTCGTCTTGCGGACGGACCCGATCGTTTGAAGAATGTGCAACCTGGAAGAAGAAAGTGTTTTGAACTAAACTAAATGTGTGTGGCTGATCGCGCAGGAAGAACAGGAAGACTCATCATACAACGTTAACAAAATGGGCACAAACATTACAGGCTGTAATGTTCTATATCTTCACAGATACATAAATACAAGTCCCACACAGGCTTTGCAGAAGGTTAGAAGAGTGTCTTGTGACGCCACGGCAGTATGTCTGATGGCGGGTGTCACGCTGCTGGAGTGATTCTGTTGTGTGCGTTTGGGAGAGGTTGACGTGAACACACAGACTCTACGGTAATGACAGACATTCAGCCGGGCCGATTGAAAAGCCCTGTGGGATCACACAGTTCTAGGAATGTGTGTGTGTGTGTGTGTGTCACTCTTTTCTAACTGTCCTGTTCCTCCTCTTGAGTCGGAGGAACAGGACAGTTTGTGCTTGGACGGAAAGACGCACTACAAACTCCCGTCTTGTGCTGGTTGCATATATATGTATGTGTGCGTGTTTGTTTGAACAAGACTGCCTGTGCACTGATGAGTGTTTTCAGATGTGTGTGTGTGTGTGTGTGAGGCGAGCCAGCGCGTTAGCCTCTGCTGTTTGGGTCTGTATGTGCGTTAATACTGATTAGATCAGATTCTCTCATACAGACGAAGTGCTGCCCGGTAGGAAGCCATCTGCCGTGCCATATGGTCACCCCGGCAACCGAACAACAACCTGCACAGCAATGGGTTTGTGTGTGTGTGTGTGTGTGTACACGTTTGTGTGTGTGTGTGTGTGTGTGTGTTTTAGAGAGTGAGGAATTGATTTGAAAACAATCAGTGTGCTAAAATAGCAGCAACAAATCAGGTTCATGACAAATACGAGAGATGAAAACAAAGAAAGAAATGATTTACATAATCCTGTGGAAACTATTTGATCACAAAACACAGAAAACAAGCAGAAGCGCCATCAATCATGCAATGACTTGAAATGACTGCGAGAAAGCAACACATTCCTTAAAGAAAAGAAACCGACTCCGCTCCGTCGGATCAACAGAATCAATAACGTTGATTGGTGGAGCTTGCCGAGCGGGAGAGTTACCTGGAGACAGGCCAGCAGCCAGTCACAGGCCAGGGCCTGAGGAACCTTGTCTACACTACAAACTGGGGACTCATCTGTCTGTAACGCAGAGGAACCAGTGTACAGTAGGGTGCACACAAACGACACACAGGGGTTGTAACATCTGGAGTTCAACCGATGTGCATTTATGTATCTGCACCATGCGCATGAATACGTGTAACAGGGACATTTAGTTCACTATTGTCTCGAGGTGAGATCAAAAAACAACAAAACAAGATTCTTATCAAATAAGACAAAGAGGACAGAAATAAGAAAGGGGGAGGGAGAAATGACAAACACAAAAATGTTTTTTTGAACAAACAAAAGGTTGTTTAAAGTAACCCACAATGCTGCTGGTGCATGTTGTGTCACTTCAGCATGAAGGAAAAACACCAGTGCTCATTGGCTGAATTATAGAGATGTTCCGAATCCATTTTTTACTTCCCAATACCGATCCGGTACCAGTGTGTTTACAAACACAAGTAAATATTATATATAAATACACGATTCCTCGAGTAACTCTTTCCTATAATAATCGATAGCTGCAGACCTAAGACTACTAACCCTGTATGGATGCAATATGATTGCTATCATTGTTGTATGGCCTGGCTCGCGTTTCACGCTTTGTAAAACATGAACAAATCCGTACAGAAAATACATGCTGCAGAACTTGGTTTTATGATCTAGTTTGACAGATTTTCCAATGTAAAATATTAACTAATTGTTGACATTTTGCTAGCTCTGGCTAAAGAAACACTCTCGGCTAGCACCTGCCTGATCGGTACTGAGCATGTGCAGATCTCTACAGCGAAATCAGCGATTTAGGAAGCAGCAATGGTTTTTAAAGATATAAAGATAGAAGTAGTTGAGGAGTTAGCCATCTTGCTTCTTTCTCATCTCTGTTGATAGTTTAACATGTGCTGCTATCGGTAATGGAAGAACTCTACTGAGTCATATAACCTAAGTATACGTATAAGTATACAAAATATAAGTATACAAAGATGTCTACAACAACACAAACAGAAGCTTGGTTTACAAGTATTGAGTTGGTATCTAAGCTATGCTACTGTTTGGTTTTTCTGGTTATAAATGGAAGGTTTGTGCAACACTAAAGAGTGTTCACTGAGCTGTATACAACTAGTAATCCATGAACTATTCCTTCATGCATGCACAAAGAGATGTGGCAGGCAGTCCTGTTACAAGCACTTCTGCATGTGCACATTCACAGTCTGCATACAGAAACGCATGAAGGAAACAAAAGGTCCAAACCACAGCTAATACCTTTTTTGCTGTACCAAGCTAACACAGATGCAAGTTTATCTCCACCAGCGGCCCATGCTGATCGAGGTGCTGCACTAGCCGGCTGCGCCAAGAAACTGCACTGCTGAGCAAGGCGTGTGGAAACATAAGGAGTGTATACCATCCAGCAAAGCAACACAGCAGCAGAAATGAGACGGAAGAATGGTGTCGCAGCTCATCATCGTCCTCGGTCAGCATTGACCTTTGGCTTTGTAGGGCAGCGTGGTCTGTACAGGTGTGTGTGTGTGTGTGTGTGTGAGAGAGAAAGTAATGAGTGGTCAGCAGTTACCTGGGAGCCTCCAGCGATAGGTATGACGCAAGTGAGGAGATTTCCAACCACCGTTTCCATGGGGACAGTAAGGCCATCTACATGGACGGTGTAGATCAGACCCAAACAGTTCTGTTTAATCAGGGCACAGAGGTCGAGGGTCAATCACAGCATGCCACAGGGCCAGAAAGCCCTCATATTTACAGTATATTTGAATTAAAGAGAAGGAAATTAGTGACGGTCGGTATGGCTGTAGATGTTTAAAAAATAAACAATCGATAAAAAAGCAGTTTATCATTATATGCAGTTTCTATAAAATTAACTAATTATTGAACAGAATATTTTCACATCTAACTCGGTCAATTAAGGGTTTAAAAAGACGATCAAGCCGACTTAGTTCGGAGAAAGATCATTTTGAATTCCGAAGGCGTACGGTTGTGTTTTTCTGTTTAGTGAGAACAAAAGGTGAAGAATATTATTATATCACTTTGTTAGAGAGAAAAAACAATAATAGAAAAAAGATAAAATAAGAGAGCTTGTGGAACGTGGCCGCTGCACACTCACCTATGCTAATATACCGCCTGTTGTTGGGCTGACAGTGGCCGGTTGGTCAATTTCAACATATTGCCCAACCCTACTGTCGACTCTAGTCAAGGCACACAAACCCACAACTGATGCAGAAATGAGAGTGTGTTTTGGGACTGTCTGTGTGTGTCGTACCCTGAACACCTCTGTGTAGTCCAGTCGGGACACCAGCACCAGGCTCTTGGGGGCGAAGACCTGAGCTGGTTGCACGACAGCGAGCTCCTCGTCCGCCTCATCCACCTCGCTGGCCTCAGCCTTCTGCAGCTGGAGAAAGAGAAGCATCGATATAACGGCACTCACAGCAGGCTAAGAGACAATGGAGACCCAGGTTCGATCCACAGTGGGTGCTTCCTGGCTGTGTGTTCCAGCAAAGACAGTTGACCCTTCACTAAGTCCCTCCTATCAAACGCAGACTGGCCAATCGTAGCGTAGCATCGGCCAGCTGTGACCAGGGTCCAGCAACGATCCGAACTCTGCTCCAAAGACTCATTAAATGGTTTCAGCTTCTCTTCGTGTTCAGGCTGGTTTAGTGGATTTGGAGCTGGTCATGGTTACATTTCTACATAAAATTAAAAACCATAAAAACCTATGGAGCTAACGTTAGCAGAGTACATTAACACATCATTAACTAGCGTTAACACTTCTATGCTACGCTAGCAGCTAAAGGTACACTGTATGTATTCACATGTTGCTCTTGCTTTTTAATGACTGTAACCGTGAATAAAGACCTACCCGGCTTACAGGAACAGTATTGTTCCTTCATTTCATCTTCTTCTGTCTGGATCTCCAGGTGATGTGGTGGTTCACTTTTACACTGTGGTCTGTAGCTTCTATCTTTATTTTTTTAACCTGCTCTGCTGAATCAGTTTGACATCCTGGATATTTCCTTTAAATGCTAAATAGACTTACTTGTTTCGCACTTTTTTAGTCTTCCGACCACTCTAAGTGGAAAATCAGAAACGATTGCATGCCAGTGTACGGAGCAGAGTTGGATTAGTTGTCGGTCCCTGCTGCTGGCCGATGCTACGCTATGATTGGCGAGTCTGCATCCCAGGGGCAGAGCTTAGCGAAGGGTCAATTGCCAGTGTTCATGGGAGGATGGTTGTAGTTAACACTGAATATCATTAATTCCAATGAAAAGATTGCATCCTGATAGAACAGCTTCTAATTACACATTTTTTTGCACCTTATACTACAAATTGTGCTGATTCAACTGAGTCGGTCTCACCTGTGGGTTGTCCAGGCCCTCCCAGAAGGTGAAGCAGGCACAGTAGTGACGGTCCGAGTTGATGTCAGTCAAAACCGCTACAAAGAAGGAGGCAGGTTGACGCTCGGGAACCAGCTGCCAACCGCTGGGCTGACAGAACTAGAGCGGAGGAGGCGCAGGTTAGAGAGGTGAGAAGGTGACGGCAGCATTGGGGCCAGGGGGGAAACCGAGACGGGTTGGAATCAGATGGTGATGGAAATAACAGAAAGATTAGCGTACCTGGGCGACATATCAGACAGTAAGGTCACATGTTCATCCAAGGCTAGGCTATCATTAGCGCAACAAAAAAGGTTTAATAACACGATGACATCACCACAGCTCTGACCGAACCATGTGAATAGCCGTGAAAGTCTATTTTGCGATCGTTTTTTTAATCACAACGTAGTTAGTTTGAAGAAGTTATGGTATGTCTTTTTCAAATATTTAGTTGCACAACAAGAAATATAAATGGAGCAATCAAGCCATGTCATTTTTGACCGAGGTGAGCAAACAACAGAAAGTCAATATTAGCTGTCTTCTTCCTTGAGATGTGACATTTATAATAAATGGTCATTATTCATGAAGTGGCCTCACAGACTTGATGAATTGAGCTGAAGTTGGGCTGCAGCTGGTCTGTGTAAACATGTCCCACATGCTTTTATCTGAAGTCAGTCCACACCTAAACACTTTATAAAGCAATTTTTAGTTTCAGTGAGAGCATACGCTGGTGTCCAGCCGACATTCGTGTGAATCCGTGTTGATTCAACAGGCCCGACAGCTGACTTGCATTAATATTAAGAATGCAGCAATCTCACTTCCCCATCCCCCCTCAAAGACTCAGATACCCAGGGGACCGATATGAAACCAGCGCCCCTTTTTTCTAAAATGAAAAATGTATAAACGTTTCCGTGCAAAAACTGAAGAAGATTAATAACCATCCAACCAATCAGAGCATCCCTAACCAACACAACGTCCTGCTCTGTTTTTGAGTGTGCATTCCCTATTTTTGGGTCATTCAAATCAAACACATTAATGTGTGTGTGTTGAATTTGAATGGCTGTCTCCTATCTCTAGATCCCCTCAAGATCCATCCTCCACTGTACATGACATAGCATTTATTTTGGTTTCTTCTGAATAAAATATTTTTAAATCATATATTCTTCAAGTTTTAAGTCTAAAGCCCCACTAGTGGCCTGTAGAGACAATGCCTATTACACCCAGACAGTACCGTTGGACAAAACAAGCAACATACTGGTTATTTTGATACTCTTAGGCTGTGTATACATTGCAGGTAAAAGTGACCAAATCTTTAGAATTCCTGCAACTTTTAAGTCACTCTAGATCAACGTCCGTCATAATTCCACACTGTGAAGCCATTTACGTTGCAGTCCCACCACTCCTGGCTCCGACTCTACAGCCACACACACACACACACACCTCCGTACAGAAGGGCCAGACATTGTTCCACAAAAAGCCAAAATCAATATACCATCAATATACCAATATAAATAATTATAATATAAATTGGATCCGAGCAATAAGTCAGATTTGAGCACTGAAGTGTGAACATATTATGTGGTGAAAAAAGTTTTCTTCAACGGTGGCATTGGAGGAAAGAGCAGTGGGTCATTAAAAACAGTATTCATCCTCAGAGGACCATGCATACCCATACCAAATATTATGCAATCTTGCTAGTGTTTGTTAAATCAAGTTCTGTTGGACAATCAACCAGAAGAACCAACAAAGTGACATTACAATCCTTAGATAACCTTGTGCGTTGGGATCCACAGCTCGTTCTCTTGTCAGACCGCCGGGGTTAAATTGGTCCACGATGGATCTCAAGTTCAAATGTTTCCTCACTTGTTGGTGTACCAAAAATGTGCTTTTTTAAATCTATAAATAACCTGAGCCCTGAGGGGATATACATCCGACAAAAACACAAAAAGCCGTTTCATAATAGGCATTCAAAAAAAAAGAAGCTTCAGTTAAGATTTAGAACTGCTAAAACCTTCCAACAGAACTGATGCTTCACCACAAACAAACCTCTCACCCAGTTCAGAGCCTGATGAACGCATCAGCCCTAACCCTAACCCAACCTGGAATAGTTGCAGTTAGTGTCTTGCCCAGACCATTGAGCTGCCCAGGGAATTGAACCCCTAACCCAGACAGGGTTAAGTGCCATGTTCTACCCACTGAACCACACTGCAGTGTGTCTGTAAGTGTTGACTCACCAGCTCTATGCCTTGTGGGAACGGGCTGTCCTCCCAGTCTTTCTCAGGAAACCGCTGGAGAATGCGACCTTGACCTTCACCCTCCGCTGCAGAGACAGAGAGAGACAAACACAGGTCAGTCCTCATTATTTACATCCTTAAATAAACTCCTTTGAAGGTTGTTTGTAAACCATATCCGCACATTCTTTTTTGAATATTTTTTGTAATGTATGTTGTTATACAAATAAACTATGAATTCATGTTAAAACGTGTGTTTTGCTACAACATGCCACAGAGATTGGACCGGATGCAGGAGAAAAAAGTAGCCTCCATAAAAAGAGGAAGAATACATCTCTGACAAGTGTGTTATGTTGACAGCTTCACTATAAAGACAGGACTTCAGAGGCGACCCAACTGTTCGTCAGTAAATTGCTAAAGTGCTTCTATTTCTACACAGTCATTACTAATTCATTAAAAATGAGGGCAGCGGTTTCCACGAGTTTGGAATTTTGGCCGTCGCCATCTTGGATTTTTTTGCAGCCAGTGAACGTTGACAATATTTGGACTGCAGAGCAGTGACGCTGTGGTAGAGACGCCCTATACGGCTCCGGTATCTGCCTGTCAATCAGGGGCGTCGTTACCAAAAACAATTTTTTTTTCTTCGGTGAAGTCATTAAATTAAACTATTGTTTCTCACATGGACAAGTTATTTATAACTCTAACATGCTACATCTGTGCGTGCGTTCTGGTTTGTATGTTTTCTCCCCCTTTAAATTACAATCCAATAGCCTATCATCATACTTAATAATATAAAGTTGACACTGTCAGGTCCATTCTCCATCCATTGTGTGCGGTCCCTTTAAGAATTAGGATTTGGGAGTGATGCGGATATGAAAGCTAGTTTATCCGTCTTTCTTCTACAAGCAGGAAAATTATTTCTCTCTTTATTTGAGAAAAGTTCATATTTGTGTTGTCAAATTTCACTATGACCCTGAAATTCTGTCTCTTGTGTTATCATATACTGAATGCAAGCAAAACTACAGAGCAGAATCACACTCTTTCTGATTGAACCAATCTATGAACTGTCTGAAACAATGGATATACCCCAAATGGGCCCCAAAAAAAATTGCCCGCACAAACATGCCACTCCCCTTGGGGCTTAGCCCCCCCTTTCTTTGAATCCTAGAAAAGTCTGGTCTTCTAAATGAGTCCATATCTGCCTGTTAAACAGTAGTGTGACGTGTTATAATGCTTTTTTTTTTTTGCTGCTGGTTAATGAGGCCATTTCCACAGTTGGCCAGGGCCTGGCTGATCACAGTGGCACAATGACACGACAAAGGCCCGCTTATGTAACCACCACAAGCCCGCCTTTCAGCTTCGCTCCATCTGAAGCCCTACAGGCTGCTTAATGGCAGCATTCATCCGCACAGAGAATACACTCATCCTCCCGATACAAAAGGATGTGAATCTAGCATGAAACTGCACAAAACTAAATATTATCCCATGCTGATAAAAAAGAGAACTTTTCACCAGCATTTAACAAAACCTGGACAGTTTGCTGCCTCAAGAGAAATAACAGTCTTTTTACCAAGGGAACTAAAACAGAAGCTCAGACACACAGAGACAATACACAAACAGAAAGTAGGCCAGCTCCCAAAACACACAGGGAAATGCTCAAGTCATCCTCGCTCCCTTGCGAACCCGAGATATGTGGACGCTTGTGGGAGCGGCGCTCTGAGATCAGGTCATCAAAGACAAGAGATTAATTTTCTTGTTGCTTTGAGATGATTGGCTGCCTTCTTTGAGACTGATATTTAGTGCTCAGGCATCAACAAACAAGTACTGACACCATGCAGAGGGAATACCATGAAGTGCACTGATTCAGTTCTGTATAGGGCTGGGTATCGGTTAGTGGGACGGATCATAAAACTCAGAGTCACGGATCGGATCAGCACCAAAGAAAAATGGGAGCAAACATATGTTTTAGAGATCCCTAAACACGTTTTTTAGTTCATACTAATTACTGATCGTTGATCCATATTGGCAGAAACAGATCCCCTTGTTGTTTGATTATAGCAGCTGGTCTACAAGGCTCCAGACTATTTTTTTTCAAACGGTCAGAAGTCTGTAAGCCATCAACAATTCTAAATGTTATCCTTTCACTTTGTTATAGAAATTTATAATTTATTTTTCTTCCAAAAAACAAACAGAATTCAAATGATAAGGAAACAAAAGATTGTATTTTCAAATCTTGTCATTAGTAGTTTTAATGATGTATTATAAGCTATAGTGTAAACAGGTCATAATTCATCTCTAATATCTCTTTATGTTGCTGTAAAAACATCTCCTTTAAACAACTGGATTTATTCAAGTTTAACACCAACACTACATTTTATGAGATTACATGTTAACACATATTGTTATAATTTACCTTAGCCCAATTCTCCTTTTCACTGAACAGAGCCTGAACGCATCATAATGTAAATGAAGCTCAAGCGCAAGTTCAGTCAAAAAGACACTCACTGATAATCTCTGGCTCTCCTCTCCTTGTAATTACTCTATCAGCTGATTGGGGGGCGTGCACTTTTAAGTAACCAACCAGATTCGGCACACGGTTTCCTTAAACTAATCATATTGTTGCTGTCAAACTTTAAATAGTGTTCTCCTCTCTGCTGCTATCAGTTGTCATTTCTGCGTTAAGCAGATGCGACCCTCCTCCACCCCAGTCGCCTCTAGTCAGCATCACAGTCAGGCTCCTGATTCATCAGATTGCAGCAACTCCTTTCACCACCACCACCAGTGTCTGGACTCCAAGGGGGATTAGGCCTATTGGACCTCAGTATCCCTACCCTCGCTGATATTACTTCAGGATGGAGTCCAATCGCCAAAGACTTTGCACTCTCCTGATTGAACTGAACATTAGCCTTGTCCATTAGCCACGTTACCAGCTCTCCTCCAGTCAGAACACTGATTGGTTGTTTACAATGTAATATTATCAGAGATCGGAGAATAGAAAAGCATAAATGATGTCCTGATTGCATATTTTGCTAAATATTGGCGGATAACCATTGTCAGTAAAACTTTATTTCACACTGTGATGGTTAACATTAAACTGTGTAATTTTAATCTGCGGTTCACATGAGGGGGGGGGGGGTCAGTACGGATCCACAGCGGTCCGTTACACCACTAGTATCGGTACTCGATACATTTAGGATATCGGCCGAAGTAAGTTTAAGTAAGATTCTAAGAGGTATTGAAACTTCCCCGGTCAAACGATACCTGAATTTGATCCTTTTTGTGGCCAGAAAGAAAAAATGCGTATGGTTTTGCTCGCAGCCAATCACCGCAAGCTTTCTTCAATTAAAGGTGACGCGTGATTGGCCGACTACCGCAGCAGCTACAATACAGCTGGGATTTGCTGCCTGCACACGGCTCTGAACACAGAGATGGCGAGCAGCTAACAGTGCTGACAAAGCTAACAGGTGCTGACAGTTTTAACCTGGGGGGGACTGGAAGGTGGGAGTTGCCATGGAAGCGCACTTAATTCGCAACCGTGGGTCGGCGCTTACAGCGGTAAGCACTGTATGAGTGCTGTATAGTGCGGCAGGAATTAGCTAGCCAGTGGGACACAGACGCACACACACAGAGCTGCCATTCACATGATGGGTATTGAATAAAATACTCTATTGGTATCTGTATCACTTTAAGGGTACTGGTATCAGTAGTCACATCAACATGTTGTAAATGATACACAGCTGTAGTTCTGCAGTGCAGAGTTGAACCATCAGTGATCAAAAGTTGATTGCTCCACACGATAAAGCGTCAATTAATTAGGCCCAAAATGTTGAGTGCCACCTCAGAACTTGTCACCTCACACGACGGGCCCTTTGCACAGCAGCTCTTTTGACATGTCATTGCAGGGTAAACACAGATCAAATAAATCACTTTAACTTCATTTAGGTGGGCCAGGGCCCTGGTACTGTACATGCTGGCTCACTGGAATGGCTGTGACACACTTAATAGAAAGGGACCATAATTGACACTATCAATTACACCTGTGTTTACTCTGCTACGACTGTGAAAAGGACCCGTTCAGTCTGTGAGATAATGCACATACCACAACAGAGCGTGTGTACAATCAAAGATTTCCACTCGTCAGCTGTGCCACATGAATACATAAATGAGACGCATATTATGACACATAAATGAGAACACAAGTCTAATTATATTTCTAGATCTACATAAGAAATAACTATATTTAGACCACTTTGCACAACACTGTGTCACATAACAATTGTTAAAAGAGGAGAAAGTAAATCACAATCTGCTTGTAAGAAGGTGCTGATGGACTTTGTTGTGACACCAAAGAACATGCGACTGCGATGAATCATCCATCAGAATACCAGAGCTGAGGCATGCTGGGACCCGCTGTCACCCGCTGTCACCTCCCAACTACGTCCTTAAGAGACGGCGATTTTTAAGAAGTGTGTTGCCTGGCACCGTCTCGTGTTGTGTTGTGTAACAATGTGTTGCCAGTGGGTGACGTGCTGCAGGTGTGTCACAAACACAAAACCCAGGCACGAGTGCGACGGCGTGAAAAGCAGAGGCCGGTGCAGAAACACTTTCGGCCAATAGCAACGCAGGGTGGGGACTGTTGGGCCAGTTAAAGCAGGACATCCCGCTGCTGAGGGAGGAGTGAGGGAATAAGCCAGGAAACGAGTCTGCTGGGAGGGAGGGAGTGGCACGCACGCACGCACGCACGCACGCACGCACGCACGCACACTTTCTTGTTGTACTCCTTTTCCCACCTCTTGTGCATAGCACTGTGTTTGCTACATACAAGAGGTGTCTCCTCATCTCAGGAGGCTACTTTTCACTCTAATATGTGCGTCTGTACAAAAGGAATCGATGGAACGTAAACAAGATTCCAAAGGACTTCACAAAACCAGCAATTACTCAGAGAAATGAGAGGGCAAAGAATGAGACAGTGGCTGTGACATGGTATAAAACCCTGCCCATTACAACTCCTACATAACTTAAAAGATGTTGCCGTTTGATTTTCATGGGGCTAAAATATGTTTTCATGACAATGCAGAGCCGCTCAACA